CCTGGAAGCCACCTCCCCTGAAGGCTAGTTCTCATAGCTTTGGAGAGCACTAGGCAAGCTGATAAGGGAGAACATCAATCAATGGTCCAGCCCCAGCTTCAAGGCCTGAGAACCACATCAATGACCAGCACACTAAACAACATCGGTGCAGTAGTGGCACTTTTATCTTGGGGGTAATGAACACCTACCTAATTGGACTTAAAGCCCACTCAATGGGAGGAAACTCATGTCTGGTACTATAAACCTAGCCAAATACACATAGCTGGAGAAGTCACAGATCTTAGAGAAAACCCTAAAGCTCTCATATCCCTAAAGTAATTTCTTACTATGTGCAAAATATGAATCCTTAAATTTACAGACAAGTATCCCAGTTACCACCCCATCAAAGTAGCTTCTTTTTCAACAGACAGAGGTTATTACAGAATTACACCACGGGTCACACACAGAGATTGTGAATTGCCCAAGCCTAAGTGGAACATCCAGGATGCAACCTCTACACCTAAGACTCATGGAACCTAGAACAAGGTGTAGCAGGAGGCCTCCAAAGATGGTGCGGACTCAGAGCCCTGGGATTCAGCAAGAATTCACTTCTTGGTCCACAAATAGCTGGCCAAAAGGAGCCCACGCCTCCTTACCCTGCTCGCGAGCCCAGTGGCTGCTGACAGACTGCGTGGCGCAGATCAATCAGAAAACGATACGCTGACTAAAGGGACTTGGGAGTGGAGAAAAGGGAAATATAAGGCCTGGCCCCTCCTGCATTAAACGAGCCTGCAGCACCTCGCCTAGTGCTTGCTCCTACCCGACTCCTGGGGTCTGTGTGTTGACTCTGCACCTCTTGCCCCCCTTATTGGCATGGGACCCGATCCAGGTCAGGGTCTTCACAGCTGGCCTGAGGAGAACCCGCAACAACAAGGGATGAAGAGAACACTAATGATCTTTCAGTTCTCATCAGTGAAGCTCCCTCATACAACAGAGGGCCAGGAACAGAAAAGGCCACAAATGGCCAAAATGCAGAGCATAAGAGTTGGCAGAGTGTGGGACCTTAGACAGGGCTACTATATTGAGGCCCACCACCCGGGGCTCAGGGACCATTACAGAAGATAGGGCAGAAAGATTATAAGAGCCAGGGAGGCGGTGCATGACCATACAGAAATAGTCCTGGTGCCTGGGACCCTTCTCATACAAACCTCCAGCCATGCTGTCAGCATGCACAAGACCCATGCAAACTTAGGCAGACAAAAATCAGGCACAGAACTGTGGAAATGAACAGCAAGCCCCAATCACAGTTGAAGAATTATTGGCAGTTAACTACTGCTGGGTGAGGAAAAGCTGATCTTCTTGAAGGGAGAGACTCTAGATAGGCTGACTAGACCCCGGTGGACGATCTTGCACTGAGGGTCATCTTGGAACACTAACTTTACATAATAGGCCTTAATACAAAAGACAGAATGTATAAACTCCCATGGGGTGGGGGTGGGGGGATTATGGGAGGGTGCCAAAGGGGAAGGGGGAAGGAGGTATAAAGGTCTCCCTGTAGCCCCAGTGGGCCTGGAACTTGCTAAATAGACCGGGCTGGCCTCGAGCTCATAGATATCCACCTGCCTCTACCTCCCAAGTGCTGGAATTAAAGGTGTGTGCCACCATGCCCAGCTATCACTACTATTTTTATAACTGCAGTGCTGGGGATTCAACTCAGGACCTTGGGGTTGGAGAGATGGCTCAGTGGTTAAAAGCACTGGGTGCTCTTGCAAAGGGCCCGGATTTGGTACCCAGCACCCACATGGTAGCTAACAACTGTCTGTAACCCCAGTTCCAGTGAAGTCAACACCCTCTTCTGGTCTCTGCAGGCATTGTAGACACGTGGTGCACTTACATCTATGCAGGCAAAAACACTCACACACATAAAACACACACACACAACTGAGGGCCCTCACCCAGGCTAGCAAGTGCTCTGCCACTGAGCTTCACTTCCCATTCAATACTGCTGTTAAAAGTCACCAGTAGTTTATATACAATGCTTTGAAAAGTATATGTCAATGTACTCGCTAGTGACAATATTAAATATGGGACAAACAGGGAAAAAGTCCTCAGTTCACCACTTCCTTGAGCAGATCTCATTTATCTGCCTGAATAGCTACTGATCCTCAGCGTACATTGTGTCTGCAAACTGGAACAGATGCATGCATATATCTGTGCAGAAAATAGTTCTCTTAGGGGCAGTGAGGTGGCTCAGGAGGTAAATGCACTTGCCACCAAGTCTGATGACCTGAGTTTGATCCCCAGGATTCACATGATGGAAGAAGAGAACTGAGTCCTGCAAGTTGTCTTCTAACCTCCACACACATGTGCACACAGAAAACATAAATGTAAATAAAGATATGATAGTTCTTTCGACTTAACTAGATTCACAGTGAACATAAATAGTGACTTGCTTTACATTTGTTTATCTACAAATACAAAATGATTCTTTTCAATCTGCATCATATTCCAGACTGTGGGTGAGCCAGGTTTTCCTTAACTGTGCATCTAAATTTGCCATTTTTTTTTTTACTTTTTAAAAACTATTTTATTATTTCTATTTTATGTGTATGAGGGTATTGCCTGCATGTATGTAAGTGCACTGTGTCATGCAATGCCTGTAGAGCTCAGAAGAGGGCATCAGATTCCCCGGGAACTGGAGCTATGGAGTTGTTAGCCACCTCGTGGGTGCTGGGAATCAAAGCTGAGTCCTCTGCAAGAGCAGCCAGCGCTCTTAACTGCTGAGCCAGTTCCTTTTTTTTGAGACAGGACCTTGCTGTCTATGTAGTCTGGACTGACCTTGGAATTTTATGTACCGAGGTTGGCCTCAAGCTTAGCCTCCAAGGTGCTGGGATTACAGGCATATATAACCACAGCTTGCTTCTTTTCAGTTATTGTTTTTTTTTTTTTTTTTTTTTTTTTTTTGAGACAGGGTCTCACTAGGTAGCCTGGCTGACCTGGAACTCACAGAGATTGACCTGCCTCTGCCTCCCAAGTGCTGGGAGTAAAGGTGTGCCTGTGGCATGCCCCAAATTTTCAATTGTCCCATCTAGAACCACAGCTCTCACTTTTCAGTGTCCTCTTTTTTTTCTTTTGGAGGGAGGTGGTGTGTTGAGACAGGGTCTTACTTTGTAGCACTAGCACTGGCGGGCCTGGAACTCTCAGAGATCTATCTGCACACTTGCCACCACACCTGGCACATCCTTAAAAAGAAAAGGAAAAGTCTCTATTCTTATGGGTAGGGATGTAGCTAAGGTGGTACAGTGCTTGGTTAGCACGCATAAAGCGTGCTAACCAAGGACCCCATACACAGGTATGGTAGTGCACACCTGTAATCCCCACACTTAGGAGGAAAATGCAGAAGCACCAGGAGTTCAAAGTCATTCTCAGCTGCACAGGCTACATGAGATCCTGTTCAAAAACCAAAAGTACAATATTCTATCTAGCAAACTATCTCTCTTTCTTTTTTCTTTCTAGTCATCCATCTATAGCATAAAGAAAATCTCTAAGTCATAAACTTCAATAAAACAAACACATGTACTATTAATTTCTATTGCTATTAGTGATGCCTAGTTTATTAAAAAAGAGAGAGCAATCTAATATTAAATGTGGATTTTTAAAAATGGAACCAAGAGCTAGGTGCAGTGGTACGTATCCATCACGTCCACCATGTCCACACATCCATCATATCCATCATCCCAGCTACATAGGAGAATGAGATGAGTCAGGAGAACTGAGAGTTTGAAACAAACATGGGCAACTTTACAAGATACTGCCCCCCCGCCGGAAATCAGACAAAGAAAAAAAACCTTCTGGGGCTAGAGAGATGGCTCAGTGATTAAGACAAGGGCTGTTCTGGAGGACCCAGGCTCAGTTCCCAGCACCACCTGGCAGTTAACAACTTCTCTGACACTCCAGTTCCAGGGGATCCGGCACCCTCTTCTCTACTGGGCACCTCAGGCATTGTACACATGGGTGCACTTACATACATGCAGGCAAAACACACAAAGTACATAATTTTTAAAAAAAGGAAAACAAACCCTTCAATTTCTAACAATGTACAACGGCACTGAAACACTGCATTATGAAACACTGCAGCATAGCATGGTATGGTAGTATAGAATCTATATTAACTCTATGACAGGTATGTTTCCTCCAAATACATAAAGCAGACACTTGCTGAAATAAGTGGACCGACTGCAACAATTTCCAGCCTTCCCTTGACTTAAAAGGACAAATTTCAAATACGAAACAACTTTCACTTTTCCTCTAGTTCTCTCTCTCCCTTCCTCCCTCTCCCTCCCTCCCTCTCCCTTCTTCTCCCTCTTCTTCTCTCTCTCTCTCTGAGATAGGGTCTTCCAGTAGCCCCAGCTGGCCTGGAACTTGCTATGTAGTCTAAGCTGGCCACAACCAGTTCTCTAATTTTTAAAATTTTAAAGGTTTGAGCCAGGTGTGGTAGCGCACACCTTTAATCCCAGCACTCCATCCCAGCACTGGGAGACCAAGGCAAGCAGATCTCTGTGAGTTCAAGGCCAGCCTGGTCTATATACTGAGCTCCAGGCAGCTGGGGCTACAGAGAGACCCTGTCTCAAAAAGACCAAAAAAATTTTCTTAAGATTTGTATTACTTTATTTATTTAGTGTGTATGCTAGTGACCCCATGCAAGTCACACCATATAAGTGCCACACCGTATAAGTGCCACACCATGCAAGTGATGCTCAGAGGACACCTCAAGGGAATGAGTTCTATCCTTCCCCCATGTGCGTCTCAGGAATCACACTCAGGTCGTCAGCCTCGGCAGCAAGTGCCTTTACCCACTGAGCCATCTCACTGGCCGCCTCTGGTATTTCCACAGACACAGGAGTTGAGAAATGACGCAGTGACTCTCAGTCATTTCACAGAGCATAACTGACCTCCAAAGTGTTAGGGGCCAAGGTGCCGCCCCTGGTAATGTTAAATGAACTGTGTCAGAATACTTTGACAATTTTTGAACACGCCAAATTCTCTAGGATGGCACTTTTCATTCAGTACAGATACACCAGTGTGTCCTACTGACAAACAGAGCTTGCATTGAGAGTCTTGTAAACATTAAAAATCCTGATCATCGTGGAGTGGGAGGAAGTTCACCTGTGAATGGGAAAGAACACACTATTCATCCTGAATACAGAATTGTCAAGACAAGCAGAGCAGAGAGAGGTGGACAGTAAACACCATCTTCTAGCTCCTAGCACTAGATGGTGGACTCCCAGCCCTCTGTGTTCCTATCAGCCTCATCGGGTGGTGTGGAGAAGGGTCATTTAGGTTTTATAGGTTAAAACGAGAATGCTGCCTTCAATTACATTTCACAATGAAGTCTAACTGGAGGGGGGGGCACTATTTCCCAAAAAGTCAGGATGTCCCTTTTCCATAGTGACTCCAAAATGATTCTGATAGTTTATCTTCAGGAGACTGGTTTAAAATGTCTTTTAAAAGAACACAGAGAAACAACTATTGCCAGAAAAAAACCCATATAATTATTTGTTAGCTACTGAAATAACTACAGGGTTTTGGGAAACAATAGCCTTTTGTAAAAAGCTGGCAGAAAATGTTTGGTTTTTGCCATTTAATATTTGGAGGATTAAACATCAACTTAACCTTGAAATTTATACTTATTGTGTTTCTCATAGATGAGTGTTAAAGCACTTTGCTGTCAAACAGCTTTGGTAAGGCCAAAACACTTCTCAAAAGGACAGAAGCGGCCATAGCATCCTTCCTTCTCGCTCCTGTCACTGTAGGTTTGGTTTTTAGTGAGAATGAACAGTCACGGCTACGTCCTCAGAACACTGCATTGTGTTCTGCAGTTCACAGTATGTCCTTTCCTTGGGAAACTCAATTATGAAGCTATTCTTTCATTCATTCATTTTCAATGTCAGTTCAGAAAAAAATATCTGCATATCTAGGCCTTTTGCCAGAGTTATGTACTTAAAGTTAAAAGTGCTAAGACGGTTTCATCCTAGAAAGCTCACGGCTTCTGAGGTGGTGCGTCGCAGTACAGCACATTTTCTGTAAGAAGGTCTTTCCTGGGGACCAGTTCTAAAAGAAAACAGAAAGAGATGAATTAAAATGATTAGAATAGGAGTCACTATTTAATCCTTAAATTAAATACAAGTGCAAGCACACTCACTGCCCCTTGAAATTTCCAACCATACACTGCTTGGTTTTAAGATAACTGTTAGCTGGGCGTAGTAGCCCATGCCTTTAATTCCAGCACTTGGGAGGCAGAGGCAGGTGGATCTTTGTGAGTTGAGGCCAGCCTGGTCTACATATCAAGTTCCAGACCAGCTGAGGCTACAGGGAGACCATGTCCCAAAAAGACAAAACAAAAAAAAAATTTTTTTTTTTAATGGAAGCTGGGCGTGGTGACGCACACCTTTAGTCCCAGCACTCGGGAGGCAGAGGCAGATGGATCTCTGAGTTCAATGCCAGCCTATCTACATAGTGAGTTCCGGGCCATCTGGGGCTACAGGAGACCCTGTCTCAAAAAAACAAAAAACTCTTAAAAATTCTGTTGATGTATAAGGTGGAATCCTTGATTTCAAATGGAGACATTTAATAGAATTCTCATTTCAGGGTATATAAAAATATATACAACCAACTTAATCCTTTATTTATTAAACATGACTAATTTAATAACTGAACAGAATTAAGATAAAATATATCACTGGTCATGCGCCAATGGCAGGTAATTTTTAAAAAAATCACCTGAAAAATGTTTTTTCTTTGAGACAAGGTCTCATATAATGCAGGCTAGCCTGGAAGCCCCAAAATAGCTGAGGCTGGCCATACCTCTCTAGTACTGGGAACTTACGACACTCTTCACAACACAGCCCACTAAGCAGTTGTGACTGAATGCAGTGTGGGAGCTCAGTGAGGGTCCTGGGTCACAGGGAAAAGTCTTTCCCTTCTACCAGAAAGGGCATTGTTAGGGCAAAAGAAAAAAATTGAATGACAGTATTATATCAACATTAATATCCCAGATTTCATAATTATACTGTGGTTAATTAGAGAATATCCTTTATATTCAAGAAATGCATACTAAAGTTCATTTATTTTTTATGTGTATGAGTGTACTGCCTGCATGTAGGTAGGTGTACCCATGTTGTGCAATGCCCATGGAGGGCACCGGAAGAGGGCATTGAATCCCCTGGAACTAGAGTTACTGACGGTTGTTAGCCACCACATGGGTGCAGGAGCAGCCAGTGCTCTTAAGCTCTGAGCCGCCTCTGGTCCCCACCATGTTTCTGGCCTTTACTTCTGCTATCACCACATCTGCATGGCACACAGAAGAAAACAGAACGAGACAACAGTACAGTCCGGCTCAGCTTTCTTGGAAAGAACACTCAGTACACAGAACTCAGTGCTTAGGACAGTCTGGGAAATAACTGTACATCTACATGTATGGAACATGTATACAATTCTTCCCTCGTAGAATAGTCCTGTTACCATCTGGCCCTAAATTCCATTCTGAGTCCAGTCAAGGATCTGGTTGACCTGCTGTCCTGCTCAGCTCTCCGTCCATCTGTGGCTCCCATGGTAGACACCCACTCCATTTCAGTAAACAACAAACAGTAGGATAGAGAATAAAAATATGGTATTGGAAATCCACGGCAGTCATTAAGCCACAGAACCCTAAATCCTCCTGGACAGGAACGGCAAGGACTTCTTGCTTTGGCAAAAGAATAAACCCCCAGTCAGCCACCTGGCAGCACTGAATTTTATTTTTGGGAGACCCAGAGCCACTCTCTGGTGCATGGTACTGCACAGCCCCTGGTTCTGGCCTCTGAGTCATTCCTGGTCAGAGATAGAGATCTTGGGTAGACAACCTCTTTCACTTCCCATAGATTTGAGTTCAGGAGACTAGAGATGGTCTTAAGAGTTAGACAGGCCAGGGTTTCTTCGCAATACAATCCACTCAAAAACTATAAACTTCAAGCCTGTTTCCAGCCATTTCCACTTGCAAGTAGCCACAGGCAAACATCTTGACCCAATTTTAAGCATAAAGACAGTCATCCTTTGGGAACTGCCTCTGTGATCTCCCCAACTCCCCAACCCTCACCTTGAGGCACTTCTTCAAAGGATAAAAAGACGACCATCCCGAACCTCGTCTTTGCTGGACAGAATGAGAGAGACCTGGGGGCAAACTGATGGGACTTCATCTTAGAGTTCAGAACCCTCTTTATCTTTGTGGACCAACTGCTCTTTGTAACCATTTCACAAGGCTCCAATAAACATTAGACTTCAGGCTGCAGACAGAAGCGTGCCCCTTAGCAACGCACACGTCATCCTGCCTCTGCTTTGCAGCTGGGCTAGTTCAGTCTGCATTCATTTCTTCTCAACAACTTCCTCTTTTTTCTTTTTTTCTCTCATTTTTTTGAGAGAGGGTCTCCCTGCAGCTCCAGCTGGCCTGGAACTCACTATGTAGACCAGGCTGGCCTCAATCTCAGAGATCCACCGGCCTCTGCCTCCCAAGTGCTAGGATTAAAGGTGCTGGCCACCACACCTGGCTCCCCAGCATCTCATTGCAAGAAGAGCTATGCGGCATGCGCTGACGGGTAGCTGTTTCTTTTATTGCTGTAGCTTCAGGTCTGCCCCTGTCCTGTGAGAAGTGAGTCACTAGCCTTATGTTTTACTACTGTAAAGGGTCACCAGCCCAAACTGGGTGAGGTATTCAATTCCAGCACTCAAGAGAATGAGGCAGGAAGATCACAGTGAGTTTGAAGTCAGTCTGGGCTACAGAGTGAGAGCTTGTCTCAAAAATCAAAGGATGACAGGGAGGCCAACAATCTGACACCTGTAATGGCAGTTCCACGACAATCCTCTCTATGCTGGCCTTCTGTTCAACTCCTTTCAGAGTTTTGGTTCAGCACCTCACTTCTTTATGCAGCTTCTGTTGGCCTTAGTTATTAGGAACAGAAGTGGACTTGCCCAGGAGGTAGCGGGATCAGGATCATCCTCAGCTACATAGGGAAGTTCATTCGAGACTAGCCTGGGCTAGACATCCTGTCTTTAGATAGACAGACAGACAGACAGACAGACAGACAGACAGACAGATAGATAGATAGATAGATAGATAGATAGATAGATAGATAGAAAGTTTTAGAAATACAAAGGCCAGGCGTGGTGGTGCACATTTTGAATCCCAGCACTCAGAAGGCAGAGGCAGGCAGATCTCTGTGAGTTCAAGGCCAACCTACTCTACATAGTGAATTCAAGGCCAGCGGGGGTTCCAGGGAGACCCTGTCTCAAAAAGACCAAAAAAAAAAAAAAAAAAAAAAAAAAAAAAAACCAACCCTCAAACAAACAAACTTAAACGAAATACAAAGCAGGCTAGAGAGATGGCTCAGCAGTTAAGAGCACTGGCTGCTCTTGCGAGGACCCTGGGTTTGATTCCTAGCACCCACATGGCAGCTAACAGCTATCCCTGACTCCAATTCCAGGGTATCCAACACCCTCTTCTGACTCTCTCAGGCACTGCACAGATGCACTTGCCTACATGCAAACAATATACTCACACACATAAAATAAAAATACTGCATAAAATATTTTTTGAAAATAGAAATACAAAGCTTTTAGGTCTATGGACCAAAATGTAAATTTAGGCTGAGACTTTCAAAAATATAGTATGGGGTTAGGAATATAGCTCAGTAGGTATAGTGTGGGGCTTTGCATTCAATTCCCAGCACCACATAAACCAGGAGTGGTAGGTGGTATATTCTTGCAATCCCAGCAATAGGGAGGAGGGAGGAGGATCAGAAGTTCAAGGTCATTCTCCAGCTACATAGCCAGCTTGAGGCCAGCCTGGGCTACATAAGGGTGTGTCTCTGTAGGGACCTAGATGGCCCTGCAAAGATGGCTCCGAGAAGTAAGCAGGGCCTGGCCTGATTTGTTTTGAAAGTCTTCAGATTGGCTAATGGACATTTCTGCACTCCTGAGGAGTGCGTGATTGGCGCGTGTTCACCATTGAAATCCACGTGCTGTCCACGTGCTTGGTTGACCTTTAAGCTGATTGGACACCTTCAGGGAGAGGGGGATTTCCATCTGTGGTTAATGCCTAAGCTCTGTAACGCTTTCCTGCTTGACTAGACTCCCTGTCACGTCTGATTGTCCTCAGGGAGGAGGGCTGGAAAAACGGGCGTAGAGTGCACTCCCCTCTCCCTGATCTCCCTTGTGGTGGGCCTCACTGGGTCGGACTGCTGGACAGGAATGTATGACCCAGGGGACTGCCACATGTCTCCAAAAATAAAACAAATGGGTAGCACAGTTTACAACGGTAGGGCAATCATAGAGCCATCAGGGATGTTAACAGTGTTCAGGACATTAAGGCAGTCTACTTTAAAGTTACAGAAATATTGCTGAATACATCAAGCACATCAGCAGAACTGAGGAAGCTGGAGAACTTAGAGCTAGGCAGTGTGTCATAATTCTTTATTTTATATATATATATGAGGGTTTTGTCTGCATGTAAGTGCACATGTGCAATGCCCACAGAGCCCAGAAGAGGGCATTGGATCATCTGGAACTGGAGTTACAGATGGTTGTTAGCCACCCTGTGGATGCTGGGAACTGAACGCCGGTCCTCTGCAAGAACAGCCAGCACTCTTAACCACTGAGCCGTCTCTCCAGCCCCTTAGGTAGCGTTTGTTTGTTGTTTCCAAGAAGCTGTCCCTGCCGCCTGTCTGGACTTGGAGTTGTGCTCAGGTGCCTCAACAATGCCTCCGCCACTCCTCTGAGAGCTCTGCCGCTCCTTCCTTCGCAGTTCTCTGTTCCCTAACAAAAGGAGCCACATTGCTGTTGCCCACTGTTCTACATAAACCCCAGTGCTGACTGCAGTGAGAAGTCAACAAATGTTTGCTGAATCACATTAACTTGCCTTAGAAAAAAAATAGATGTTTTTTTACAAGACAAGTATAAAGAATCAGAAGGCAGACATTTGGTGCTCAGGAGACAGCTGAATCAGTAAAGTGCTTGCTATGCAAGCATGAGGAACTGAGTTTGGGTCCCCAGCCCCCACATAGAAAGCTGGAGACATGGGAAGGGGGATCCCTGGGGCACAGTGAGCCTAGCCAAAGCAGTGAGCTCCAGGTGCAGTGGGAGACCCTGTCTCAAAAAAAAAAAAAAAAAAAGGTGCAGTTATCAAGGACACCTGATGTCAACCTCTGGCCTCCATACACACTGCACACATGGGTTCATGTGCACATACAGAAACACAGGAATATGTATACACACATACACACACAGAGGGAGAGGGAGAGAGAGAAACGGCACCTGAAGTGCACCTTTCACACGCATTTTCTGAACATGTGACATGCTTAGAAGCATATCCTATTTTGTTTGTCTTACATATATGCCAGAGAGGAAGCTTAAAAATATTGGCTGCGGGCTGGAGAGATGGCTCAGTGGTTAAGAGCACTGACTGCTCTTGCAGAGGACCAGGGTTCGATTCCTAGTACCACATGGCGGCTACAAGCCGTCCTTGATGCCAGTTCCAGGGGACTCTGAAGCCCTCTTCTGACCTCTGCGGCACGACACGGGTGGACTCACATACATGCAGGCAATACATTCATACACATAAAACTAAAATAATAAAAATGGAGTATCAAAAAAAAAATGTGGGGCTGGAGAGATAGCTCAGTGGTTAAGAACACTGGTTGTTCTAAGCGGGGCGTGGTGGCCCACGCCTGTAGTCCCAGCACTTGGGAGGCAGAGGCAGGTGGAGCTCTGTGAGTTCTACATAGTGAGTTCCAGGCCAGCTGGGGCTACAGGGAGACCGTCTCAAAAAGACCAAAAAAACCTGGGTTTGAATCCCAGCACCCACACGGCAGCTAACAACTGTAACTCCAGTCCCAGGGGATCCAGCAGCCTCTTCTGACCTCCGAGGGCATTGCACGACACGGGGGTACTTACCTACATGCAGGCAATACATGCATACACATAAAATAAAAATAATAAATTTTAAAAATTTAAAAAAAAATTGGACTGGGAATGAAGTTCAGAGACGGCGGGGTGCTTTGCCCAGCGTACACAAGGTCAGGTTTCAGACGGCGGGGTGCTTTGCCCAGCGCACACAAGGCCAGGTTTCAGACGGCGGGGTGCTTTGCCCAGCGCACACAAGGACAGGTTTCAGACGGCGGGGTGCTTTGCCCAGCGCACACAAGGCCAGGTTTCAGACGGCGGGGTGCTTTGCCGAGCGCACACAAGGCCAGGTTTCAGACGGCGGGGTGCTTTGCCCAGCGTAACAAGGCCAGGTTTAAGACGGCGGGGTGCTTTGCCCAGCGTACACAAGGCCAGGTTTGACCTCCAATCCCACATACACCTGTCTGCATATAATCCCAGAACTCAGGAGGTGAAGGCAGGAGGATCAGAAGTTCAAGGGCACCCGCGAGTTCAGGGAGAGTTTGAGCCGGCCTGTGATATTTCAGACCCTGTTTTAGAAAGGAAAAAAAAAGTGAGCTAGCACAACTGCATGTGCCTGAAGGATGTCAACAACCAGAGAGATGTATAGAGTGATGAGTTTAGTGTGATTCTAGGTCATAGTTAAGGGCTAAATCAGATCAAGTATGGGAATGGAATGATTAAAAAACCGTGATTAATCCACACAAAAATATTACAAAAAAGTAGGCACTATTCGGAAAGAAAAGCAGTTTCCACAATATTTTAAAAGATTTTAAAAAATATTTTATTTATTATTATGCGTGTATTGCCTGCATGTAGGTAAGTGCACCCATGTCATGCAATGCCCACCGAGAACAGAAGAGGCTGTCAGATCCCCTGGAACTGGAGTTACGGACAGTTGTTAGCTGCCACGCAGGTGCTGGGATTCGAACCCAAGTCTTCTGCAAGGACAGTCAGTGTTCTTAACTGCTCAGCCATCTCTCCAGCCCCAAAAGATTTTTTAAAATAAGGAATTTTCCCCTAAGTTATTCAATTGCTGTTTATAATCATTTACAAAGATAAAGGAAATAATTTTTAAAGGGTAATAACTTTTTTTAAAGGAAATTTTATATATATTGGTCTTTTTGAGACAGGTTCTCCTGGTAGTCCCAGCTGACCTGGAACTCACTGTGTACACCAGGCTGGCCTTGAACTCACAGAGATCTGCCTGCTTCTGCCTCCCAGTGCTGGGATTAAAGGCGTGCCCACCATGCCTGGATAGGAAATAGTTTTATAAAGGGAACCACAGAAACTGTGATTATTCAAACTTAAAAAAAATATTTTGGGGCTGGAGAGATGGCTCAGCAGTTAAGAACACTGAATGTTCTTGAAGAAGACCCGGGTTCAGATCCCAGCACCCACATGGCAGCTAACAACTGTCCATAACTTCAGTTCAAGGGGGATCCGACACCCTCTTCTGACTTCCGTGGGCATTGCACAACACAGGTGCACTTACATGCAGGCAATACACTCATACACAAAAAATAAAAATAATACATAAAATATTTTTTAAAAATCAGAAATGAGATTTTGCTAAAGGCCCACCAGGAATCTTGAGACATAATAGATTCTTAACTATATTTCCATTTCCCATAATCCCAATTTTTCTAAATTAAAATAATTATAGAATAAAAAGCAGGAAATACTTAGTCTAGATAGGTGACAAATGACGCCAGAAAGATGTGTAAGTATAGTAACATAGCTGTATTTGTAACTGCACTTTTGCAAGATAGCTGGGGGTTAAGATTTTTTTTTAGAGGCAGGGGAAAAGGCCAGGGAGATAGCTCAGTTGGTAAAGCACTTGCTATACAAGCACAAATATTTGAGCTTAAACCCCAGCACCCACATTTAAAAAGCCAGGCATAGCGGCATGCACTTACTTGTAATCCCAGTGCAGGGGAGACAGAGACAGGTAGACCTACTGATGAGCCCAGGTTCCAGACAGCCTGTCTCAAAAATCAAGATGCTTAGCTTCTGAGGAACGACACCCAAGGCTGACCTCTGGTGTCCACTCTCGCATGTACACACATGCACTCACACACATGAACACATATACGTACACAAAAGATTTCTTAAAATTCAAAAAGAAAAAAAATTGGTATAACAAAATTTCATGTAATTCAGCATTTTTAGACCACCGCCTTACAGGTGTATACAATTACAGCACATTTCCTGGCAAAATCAGGCTGTTTTACTATTCAGCATTAAAAATACTATAATTGGGCCAGTGAGATGGTTCAGTGGGGAACGGCACCTGATGCCCTGTGTTCAATCCCTGGAACCCAGGCTGAAGGAGAGAAGTGACTCCACAAAGTTGCCCTCTGACCTCTTCACTCACAGTGGCACATGTGCACCCCAACACACACACACACACACACACACACACACACACACGTAATTTTTTTAAAGTGCTGTAATTAAGAGTCAGGCCTGGGGGTGTGCACCTACGTACCTGTAGTCACAGCTGCTCTGGAGGCCGAGGCAGGAGGATCACTTGAGCCTAGGAGTTTAAGGCTAGCCTGAGCAACATGGCAAGATCCTCTTTTAAAATAAAAACAAAGCCAGGTGTGGTTGGCGCACACCTGTAGTCCCAGCACTTGGGAGGCAGAGGCAGGTGGATCTCTGTGAGTTCAAGGCCAGCCTGGTCTACATAGTGAGTTCCAGGATAGCTGGGGCTACAGGGAGACCCTGCTTCAAAAAGACCAAAATTATATATGTGTATATATATATAAAATAAAAACAAAGGTGCAGTTACTGTCTAATATTCAAAACTTAGCAATGAGAAGTCCTCTTTCCTTTACTTACTCAGTGTGTTGTGGTCAGTGTGAATACCTTGTATGACAGACGTTCTGAGCAACAGTTCAACATCGAAACCCATTTTTATCAGCTGTTAAGAAAACCAAAGAATAAACCCCTTGAGTATCTCATATGACTATATTGTTTTTGAAAACTATAGTTTTACTACAATTCCCTTTTAGATAATATGGCTTTTAACTTTTTGCAACTATTTCAAGTCCTACAGAAAGTTCAGATATTTAGACAGCTTTAATTTCCATCTATTGATTTGTTATTTTGATCCAAAAACATATATAGAACTTTTCTGGTTATAATGTGGTTTTCTTTGGGTTTTTTTGTTTTGTTTTGTTTTGTTTTTATCTTTTTGAGACAGGGTCTCCCTGTAGCCCAGCTGACCTGGAACTCACTATGTAGACCAGGCTGGCCTCGAACTCACAGAGATCCACCTGCTTCTGCCTCCCAAGTGCTGGGACTAAAGGCGTGTACCACCAAGCCTGGCTTAAAATACTTTTTAAATACTTAAAATTTGCAGAGCTGGATCAACCAAGTTTTAGATTGGTTAATGGTAAATGAATGCTCTATAAGTAAAGTGACTCTGGAAGATTATACTTCATTTTCCCAGTTTAGTTGATATAAACAGATCTCAAGTTCAAAATCTGTTTTTAATTTGGGGGTCAGCTAGATGGCTCAGTGGGTAAAGATGCTTGCTGCCAAGCCTGCAGATCTGAGTTAAATTCCCCAGGATCCACATGGTAGAAGGAAAGAGCCAGTTTACACAGATTGTCCTCTAACCCCCATACCAACACTATGACATGCACATGTACATAAATAGACAAATAAAAAGTAAGCAAATAAAATTTTTGAATGTAATAAGTGAGCATCTGTGTTTTAATCATTTATTTTGAAGATGAGGTCTCACCACATTATCTGGGTTGGGCTTAAACTGCTGGGCTCAATCCACCCTTCTATTTCAGCCTCTCAAGTAGCTGCGGTGTGTGCTCTTATGCCCAACTCAGTGAAAAAAATTTGGGTCATAATTTAAATTTTTAAGTGAGGGAGGAAATCATGAGTTCAAGACCAACCTCTACCACATCATGAGTTTTAAGCCAGCCTGGGCTACATAATAAAACAAATAAAAAAAAAACCCTGAGACTATAACTTAATGGTAGAGCTCTTGCCCAGGATGTGTAAAGCTCTAAATTCAATTCCTAACACTGAAAAAAAAAATTACCCTCTTGCTATTAACCAGTCTACTAAATAGCAAATAGTACAAATTGTGTGTGTGATAGGAACATGCATGCCATGGCATGTTCTCTCTGTCTACCAAGCTGATCCCAGGGATCAAACTCAGTCAGGTTGGCAGCAAGCCTTTACCCATGGAGCCATCTCCCTGGCCCTCCTCATTCCTTCTTTTTTCTTTGAGACACGGTTTCATTATGTAGCCCTGGCTGGCCTAGAACTTGCTATGTAGAACATAGCTGGCTTCAATCTATAGAGATCTTCCTGCATCTGCCTCATGATTGCTGACTTCAAAGGTGTGTACCACCATGCCTGGCCCCTCATTTTTTAACTTCTAAAGTTGTAACTTGACTGTACTATCACCTCTACCATGAATAAAAATTCATATTCCCTGTTTGTTCCAGTCTATATTTAAGCAAAATGTTTTTCTTTATATTACAGAGATGGAAATACTGGGGCAATGTCACTTTGTCATATAACTTGATTATTATAAGTATTTACTAGTTTTTTTAAAAAATAGTATGTGTGCCAGGCATGGTGGCATACACCTTTAGTACCAGCACTCGGGAGGCAGAGGCAGGCCAGGCATGGTGGCATACACCTTTAGTACCAGCACTCGGGAGGCAGAGGCAGGCAGATCTCTGAGATCAAGGCCAGCCTGGTCTATGCAGGCTTCAAGAGAACACCCGCTCCTTAGCTTCAGTAACATGTCTTGGGGAAAAAAAGCTTTTATGGGTTTCTGGACTGATTCTGCATTCTGGCCACATCAGACAAGTGAGGGTTCATCCACGTTGTGAGGGCTTTCACAGCCAAGTAAAGAGGTAACCCCCATTTCACCCTTCCCTCTTCACCGACAGAACATTATACCAGTTTTATTATAGTTGAAATCCTCCATGACTATACCTCTTTGATTTTCTTAGGAGAAGTCTCACTTTTATTGTTTTTGAACTCTTCGTTGATCTTTACTCTGGCTGCTAAGAAAGCAAGAAAAAACCATGTGTTAAGAGCTATGCTGTACAGCTTTAGCGTCAACTTGACACACCTGGGTTGAGGGAGCCTCAATTGGGGAATTCCCTCTATTGGACTAGCCTGTGACCATGTCTGAGGGGCATCTTCTTGATTGTTGAGTGATGTGGAAGGGCCCAGCCCACTGTGGGTGGTGCCACCCCTGGGCAGGTGGGCCTGCGTTGGATAAGAAAGCAGGCTGAGCAGGGGCTAGGGGAGCAAGTCAGTAAGCAGTGATCCTCCATGGCCTGTGCTCCAGATCCTGCCTTCAGGTTCCTACCCTGAGTTCCTACCTTGGGCTCCCTGATGAACTGTGACCTGGGAGATGTAAAACAAATCAACCCTTTCCTCCCCAAGTTGGTAGTGGTCAGAGTGTTTTGTCACAGCAATGAAGAAACCAACTAGAACAACAGTTATCTGTTTTTCTAATTTAGAACTCCAGTCCTAATACTTTACCTGTTATTCATTATGTTGTTCATCACAAATTTCTCATGTAAAACACAACATACGAAGTTCATCAAATGCTAGGCATGGTGCTGTACATCTTCAATACCAGCACTCAGGAGGGAAGGCAGGAGGATATTTGAGGCCACGTTGGGCTAGCAAGACCCTGTCTCAACACACACACAAACAACAACAAAACAGGAAGCAGTTAAGAGCACCGGATGCTCTTGCAGAGGACCTGGGTTCAGTTCCCAGCACCCACATGACGCAGCTAACAGTAATTCTAGTTCCAGGGTATCTGACACCTCCTTTAGACCTCCGAAGGCACTGAATGCACATGGTGCACTTGTACACATGCAGGCAAAACACTCATACATATTAAATAAAAATAAATTTAAAGCCAGGTGTGGTGGCGCACACCTTTAATCCCAGCACTTGGAAGGCAGAGGTAGGCGGATCTCTGAGTTCAAGGCCAGCCTGGTCTACATAGTGAGTTCCAGGACAGCTGGGGCTACAGGGAGACTCTGTCTCAAAAAGACATAATAATAATAATAATAATAATAATAATAATAATAATAATAATAAACAACTTTTAAAATAAAGGTCTCTGCACAGACAGAAGAGCAGTCATTTGAAGAACGGGCTTGCAGCAGGTGTGGCAGCATGCACCTGAAGGGACAGTCAGGAGTTCAAGGGCATTCTCCATTCATAGCAAATTCAAGGCTAGCCTGGGATATTTAAGACTCTGTTTCAGGCCTGGAGAGATGGGTCAGTGGTTAGAGCACTGGCTGCTCTTCCAGAGGACCCAGGTTCAGTTCCCAGCACCCACATGGCGGCTCAAATTGCCTGTAACTCTAGTTCTTGTGGACCTAATGCTCTCTTCTGGCCTCCTTGGGCACTGCATGCATGAGGTGGACATACAGGCATGCAGGCAAACATTCATACACATAAAATGAAAATAGATCTTTAAAAGAACAAAACAAGAGAAAAACCACCTGGGTTGGCTATAGCAGTGTGACAAGAGTGCTTGCTTGGCATGTGAAGCCCCAAGTCCAACTTCCAGTACCATAAAAAGGAAAATAAGATAAAATCATGATAAAAAGGTAAAATTGGAGAGATAGTTCAGCAGTTAAAAACACTTGCTGTTCTTCCAGGACACAGGTTTGGTTCCCAGCACCCACACCCCAGCTAACAACCATCCTTAACTCCAGTTCCAGGGGACCTGCTGCCCTCTTATGGCCTCTGTGGGCACTGCATGCACATACATGCAAGCAAAACACTCATACACATAAAAGTAATAAATAAAATATATTTTTTCAAAAGTAAAACAAAAAGAAAATGGATTTGCTCTAAAGGGTAAAATATATAGTTACCTTCTAAGGCTCTGGTATCATTTTTAAAAACTTGTTGTCTGGTCCTGTGCAGTGTTTTAAAGAGCTGTAAAACCTATTAAGAAAATTAAAATTCAGGACTGCTGAGATGGCTCAGTAGATAAAACATTTGCCCCACAATCATGAGGACCTCAGTTCAAATTTCTGGAACCCACACGAAAGCCATACATGACAGCATGAGTCTGTGCTCCCTGCGCTCCTGTGACTGACAAGTCTGTGCTCCTGTGACTGACAAATCTGTGCTCCTGTGATTGACAAGTCTGTGCTCCTGTGACTGACAAGTCTGTGTTCCCTACACTCCCATGGAGAGATGACTGGTGGGGCAGGAGAATCCCCGAAGTCCAAGGGCCAACCTTGCTCAAACATGGTAGAAGGCGAAGCCCAGCACCCAAGGTTGTCCTCTGACCTCCACATCCTGGCTGTGGCACATGTGCACAGAGACACACATCACACACTCAAATAGAATAAAAATAAAAAAGCTGGGTGTAGTGGTACACAGCTTTAATTCCAGCACTTGGGAAGCAGAGGCAGGTAGGTAGCCGGCCTGATCTACAAATAGTGAGTTCTAGGCCAGCTGGAGCTACAGGGAGACCCTGTCTTAACAAAACAAACACGGCTGGAGAAATGGTTCAGCAGTTAAGAGCAATGGCTGCTTTTACAGAGGACCTGGATTTGATTCCCAGCACCTACATGGCAGCTTACAACCATCCTAATTCGAGTTCCAGGGAATCTGACACCCTCTTCTGATCTATACAGGCACTGCACGACATGGGTGCACTTATATGCATGCAGGCACTCATACACATCAAATTAAAATAATAAATTTTGTTTTGGTCTTGTTGAGACAGGGTCTCCCTATAGCCCCTGCTGGCCTGGAACTCACTATGCAGACCAGGCTGGCCTTGAACTCACAGGGATCCACCTGCCTCTGCCTCCTGAGTACTGCGACTAAAGGTGTGCACCACCACGCTCTACATAAATTTTTTAATTAAAATAAAATCAGACTTCACACTTAAGTCTTTATGCTTTGTATCACTGCACTGGAAGTATTAAACAGTATTCCTTTTCTATTTGTTTCTGAACTACTTTTTAGCAGGCCTTGCCAAAGTAACTTTTCCTTTATTTTACTTTTAAAATTTTTTAATATTTACTTAGTGTATGTGTACATAGATGCACATGCCATAGCACATGTCCTTGAAGTCAAAGGACATCTTGTGCGAGCTGGCTCTCTCCTTCCACCACGTTGGTCCCAGGAACTGAAGTCAGGTGGTCAGGCTTGGCAGTAAACTCCTTACCCACTGAGCTACCTCACCAGACCTATTATTTCTCTTTAAGTCAAAATGATTGGTAGTGGCTGGGGTGGGGGGAGGGCAGCTCAGAGGTCGAGTGTGCAACCTAGTATGAGGAAGGCCCTGGGCTCTGTCATCAAGTGTTCTTAAAAAGCCTTATTTACAAAACTGTTAAATGAGACAGTAATGGTTAAAAAAAAATAAAAGCTAATAATGTAAGCCAGGCTTAGTAGCTCACACCTATAAATCCAGCACTGTGGAGGTGGTGGCAGGAGGATTAAGAGTTCAAGGTCGAGGGGTGTGGTGGCGCATGCCTTTAATCCCAGTACTCAGGAGGCAGAGGCAGGCTGATCTTCGTGAGTTCAAGATCAGCCTGGTCTACATAGTGATTACAGAGCAGCTGGGGCTACAGGGAGACCCTGTCTCAAAAAGACCAAAAAAAAAAAAAAAAAAAAAAAGTTCAAGGTCAGCCTCTGGTATATAGGGAGCTTGAGGCCAGCCTGGGCTACATGAGACCCTGTTTCAACACTCCGCCCCTTGAAAAAATAAACTTAATAATCATCTTGCCAAAAACTGGTGTGCTAAGGATACTCAATTCCTCAGCAAAGCATGCATTTGTTTGCATCTTTCTTAACCCATCCCTTCACCTACTTTTGAAATCATATGCACAGTCAGCAAGTTAATCTATCGTAGGAGCCCAGGAAGGTGTTGCAGATAATTTAGGAAGGTTCACTGCAATTTCTTTGTTGTTTTGTTTTTTGAGATACTATGTAGACCAGGCTGGCCTCAATCTCACAGAGATTTGTCTGCCTCTGCCTCCCCAGTGCTGGGATTAAAGGGTGTGCCACTATGTTGGATTTAATTGCAACTTCTCAATCTAAAAGTAGAAGGAATGCAATGACTTTTCAACTTTCTGAGTCTATGTAAATGAGAGTGTGACAGAGAGACAGAGACAGGGAATACAAGCCTGGCATTTTGGTAAAGAGAGAAATAAGGTGCTGGGCATGGTGGTGCACGGTTTTAATCCCAGCACTCAGGAGGCTGAGGCAGGCGGATCTCTGTGAGTTTGAGGCCAGTCTGGTCTACATAG